CTCACATTTGCTTTTGTGTGTTAATAAAGTGGATGGAAAATCAAAAACCTATTTCGTTTATTATCAACACTTGTGAACTTTGACTTCCCTATGGGTTCTTGGTCATTGATCATTACGAATTTGGTTTAATAGGAATATAATTTATATATCATTAATTACGATTTTGTTCGAGAAATATGAGGTTATAACAGTATATTACGAGTTGGTGTTCAATAAAACATTTCGGCAGGCCAATCGCTTTTACTCTTCCTAATTATATTTAGTAGTAATGCCATTTTACTTTTCTGTTTTACTTTTTAGTTATCTATTTTGCTTTTATTTCCTGTTTTCATATTTTGCCTGTTATTTGTCTTTTTCACTCTATTTTTTTTGGTCACAATAACATTTTTATAATTTTTCCTTTTATTCCGTTTATCACTTAAATTGAATTTCTATTTGTCATTTTCGCATCTTACATTTCCTATTATTTGTTTCCACTTTTCATATGGCAGTTCCTTTTTCTTTTTCTAATGTATTTTTTTTTTCCCCATTTTTTTTATTCCTGTTCAGCTTTTCGTATTTCTTTTTTTTTTTTTTTTAATCAATTCCTGCTTCATTTTTTCTATTTCCTTATTCTCGTTTTCTTGTGTTTCCTGTTTTACTTTTCACGTTACAATTCCGTTTTTTTTTGTTTTTTTTTTAAGTTTCCTAGCTTTGTTTTATTGCCTGTTTATAACTGCAATGACGTCACAACGACGTAAATCGCTGGCCTTTGTTTCTTCCTCTTTTCTTATTATTTAAGGAAGGAGGAGGAAGAAAGGATAAGTGATAAAAGAGAGAATGAGAGAGGATCCTAACAAGAACAAAAAAAAATGGAGGAAACGGTGATATTTAGAAACGAAGAAAACGAGATAAAAAGTGTATAAAAAAAGGAGAGAAAAGATCTTGCTTTTGTGCTCCTTAAAACTGAACTTTGAAAACAAAGAACATTCCATGTCGATGTATGTGTGTGTGTGTGTCAATATGGTGAAATTTTGTTCTACTTTACGAAATAATTTTACAACTATACAAGATATTTAAATTTGCTTTTCAGTTTTTATTTATCTATTTATTTTATTACTTTCAGGATATATTTTGTTTACATTTTTTTCACTCGTTTTCTTAAATGTCTATAATGTATTTCATTTGTTTGCATCTTACTATTATTCTTTTGAATTGTTATTTGATTAACAATTTATTAGTATAGTTTATTTACTTACATATATATCGCATATATTTTACTTATATATTGTATCGATTAGAGTAGAATTGTATCAAACTATATTAGCGGTGTCACAGGATCGTGTAGAATGTGAAATATGTTTTTATTTGTTTTTTGGAAAGTCTTAAGAATATTGCGAGCTCCAACATTAATTCCATCTCTTCACATCTACGAATATCAGCCTACAATTCTTATTTGCTTTCCATCTCTCTTTCATAATACATCCAGTCTGAGAAAGTCAAGCTATATTTGTGAACTCGCATTTTCTAATTTACATACACAAACACCCAAAAAAAAACATTGAGGATATAAAAACATCATCCATAGTCACAATTTTTTAATATATGTTCTCCTTGTCCAGCAAATAAGCTTAATAACAAGCTACCTGCAACGATAACCCAAGGTGAGGCTAAAAGAGCATAGCTAAGGTGTTTATAATGACGTATGATACAAGGGAAGAGCTGAAGTGGTATATAAAGCTCTATAAGACGGTTTATGGAGCTTTATTTAGCCTCCCTAGAAGCGGGTATGAAACAAAGACTGAAATGCATAACTACAAACTCTTTTTTGTTAAGCTTTTGCTAAATCAAAAACTCATTTTTTTTCTTCTTCCTTTTTCTTCTTTTCCTTTCTTCTAGAGGTCCGATTTTGCGATCTTTTGTAACTGTTTAACGAGTCTTTTGTTTTCTTAAATTATTCGATCATAAAAGGCATTTTTTCCTAAAGAAAGAAGAAGTATTCCTTTACAAATGCAATCAAACGATATGTTCATCTTTCATCATATACAGTATCGTGTTTTAACATATTTTTAACCTATGAATTCTACGGGACACTTCACTGACCTCTATGATAATCTGTGACGAATGTGATCTCCACAGATGCTACTTATCACAAAAGAAAGATTGGCGAAGCTTCTAGATCTTCAAACACCATTAAACGGGTAATGGCATAAACAGCTTTCCGATGACTGCGCCAATCGCGTATTTTCTTTTGCAATCTTAATTTTTTGTTTTTCTTTCCAGGAAATAAAATGTGATTAGGACTACAAAGGGTAGTACTGCTTCTATCACAAACTTCTACACAAAAGGGAGGGAGATGTGGGAGGAGAGGGGGGTGATTTTCTTTCTCTCTCCACTTCTGAAACGATTACCAAAAAAAAAAAAAAAAAAAAAAAAAAAAAAAAAAAAAAAAAAATCAGGGGAAAAAATAACTCGACTGGAATGTTTTAAAATATTGCACTTGTCACGAGTGAACATTTTTTCTTCTCTTTTCAGTTCTGGACTTTTTCAATCCATATTAAAAAAAGGGGGCAAGTGTGTGACCTAAAAAAAAAAAATCCTTAACACATAGATGGTGGATCTCTGACGACTAGAAACGAATTATTTGGGAAGGGACATTACAGCCAATCACTGATCATGAATTTCACAAAATACGTAAAGAATTCCTACTTTCTTGGTCAGATGAGAGGATCATCTATCAACAACGCAACTTCAACACAGCTCTTAACAACAATGGATCACATTATCAATCTATCAACTGTTCCCTTTTAGATATTATCCTAACTTATTGTATTAAATCTCCTTTTCAGAGTTCCATTATTTGATGTAAAATCCTACCGGGCAATAAAAAAAAACAAAAAAAAACGTCGCCATCTATTTGGCACAGGATTTAGGATGATTAAAGGAGGCAAAATTTATCACTTCTTTTACGTCATTTTATCGATCACTTTTTCACATCAACCAAGACGAGAACAGCAAGAACCGCACAACCAGCAAGACCAAACTGGAATTCCGACGAACAGACCTTCACTGGGAGGAACAGAGTGTGGCATCTTGAACGCAGGTATGAACAGAAATACAAAAAATACACTAGAAGCTACTAAACTCTACTTGGCACACTAATAAAACAAATAAATACAAACCCAAACAAATATAATACATTGACTTCAGTGTACCCATGTATATACACTTTTTTATATTTACAAAAATAATATGAATCAATTCTGACAAAGGAACGTAAATAAAACTGGGCAAATAATATGCCACACTTACTCCTCTGTCTGCATATACTACATACGATAAAAGAATATTTGATTACAAACGAGTAATTCAGATATACAACAAACTATTCACACAAAATCCTCGGCGAGACCCAGGCTACGTCCTCAGTACCGCCGGTGGTTGTAGTGGGATCTGTTGAAGGAAGTCTTGAGGACTTCGGCGTAAGACATTTCCAACTTCCGAAGTTTGGCGACCTCGACGGACGGGTAGTTGATCTTGGGAGGCGCCGCCCTTCCTCTGGGCTCGGATTCGCTGTTCGCCTGGTTGGAGCCCGGCTGCTGGTCCTGGCCGGCGCTCAGGTGGTGCTGGCCGTGGCGCTGTCGGTTGCTGCTGCGGCCGCGGTGCTTCCTGGGCCGGTGGTGCTCGCAGCGGCTGCGGGACGAGTTGTAGATGATGCGCGTCTTGCTGTGCTCGTTCTCGTTGTCCGTGCGAAGCGTCGGGAAGTCGTCTTGGTTCCTGTGGTGGTGGTTCTGGCTGTGGTCGCGCTCCCGCTTGTGGTGGCGGTGGCCTGACTGGTGAGATTCGTTGCCCGAGCTTCCGTGCGAGTACTGGTACTGGCCCATGTACTGCTGGTGCTGCTGGTACGAGTCGAGGCGGTTGCGGTAGCGGCTGCGGCGCTTCTGTCTGCTGGTCGGCCGGGACCCGCCCCCCAGGTCGAGGGAGTCGGGCCGAGGAGGCTTGTGGGTGACGCGCTGCTCCTCGGGCACGTGCTGGTCGTCCAGGATCTCTGGCCTCCTCTCGTCCCTCCCCCTCGCCGCCTCTTTGCTGGGCTTCTGCTTTTCCTCGTGGTCGGCGGATGGCGTCTCCCTCGCGACTTCGGCCTTCCTTTCGTTGGCGACGTTTTGTATCTCTGAATTGACAATGGTTTTGACTGTTTTGACTTCCGTAACCTCAGTCACCTCAATGGTCGTGCTGGTTTCCGTGATGGACTCGTTGTCTTCAGATTTCACGCCCGAGGTCTTGCTGTTGTGTGCATTCTTGTCCGCTTCTACGAGCTGCTGCGCCTTCGCTGGTTTCCCGGGCTGGCTCTTGGCGTCCTTCTCATCCACGGTCTGCTTCAGCACGGTGAAGATCTCCTGGAAGAGTTTCTTGTACTCAGGAGCCGTCTGGAACCGCTTGTCACAAGGATTCACGGGTGAGCTCAAGTCTAAGCATCTGCTGGCAATCGTGGGCGTCAAGTCCTCCAGGATCTCCTTGTGGGTGAGCACCTCCTCGCCGGTCTGCGTCGCCTTGGTGCTCAGGCGACTCTCCCCGTCGGAGAAGCCCGACGACGAGGTCTCCACCTCCGAAAACTCCTCCATGTTGCTTTTGGGCCGCGCCACGCTGGGCTTCATGTCGCACGTGCAGGTGTGGCACCGCTGGCACTTGAGGGTGAGGCCGCTGGTGTCGTGCAGGGAGTCCGTCATCACCAGGCTCATGGGGCCGGACATGTCGTCGACGCCGGGGTGCACCAAGCCCTCGTCTTGGCTCACGCTGTTCTGGGCCATCTGCTGCTGCTGCTGCTGCTGTTGTTGCTGTTGCTGTTGCTGCTGTTCCCGCGCCTCCAGAAGAGCCTCGTACTTCTCGATGAGGATGCGGTACGAGGTGTCCAGCTCCGACAGGAGAGAGTTGTGCGGGGCGTCGCTGGCCTCGGTGCCCGGCGAGGTGCCCTCAGACCCCATGTGGCTCATCACCTGACCAATTGATGCCAGCGACTCCTG